GTCCCAATTCGCGAATAATGAAGAGAACTGAGACTCTCACTGAAGAAACCTATGACGGATCGAAACAGCGCAGTCGAGTGCTTGATTATGAATGCACTGTCTCATTTATTGGTCTTCGGTTTCGACAAAAGTTTTTCATTGGAGTTTAAATTTTTTTAAATCTCAGAAACGCAATAGCCATCCTAAGTCCATGGTAAATTTTCCTTAGTCTACCTTCCTACCTTCGACAGGTAGGTAAGTAATATAAATGGGAAGAAGTCGGACGCCCTTCCACGTTGTACTAACTAAACCCAGCAGCCAGGAGACGCCCTGATCCTCTTAGGTTTTCTGTGGCGATTCAGGCCCGAATGTGCAGCTTAGAAATTGCACCTGTTATTCATATTCTGGAATATCCTCTAAGACAGTCATAATGGCATACTGAAAAGATCAAAAGTAATTGGTATTAAGGTTATCAAATGTTCAAGGTGCAAGATTACCACCTTAATGACAGCAGCAACTTCCCCACAAGGGGGCATCTGTAAGTCAGCTAGACCGGACAATATAGCTATGCAGGACTTTTTCGCTTCTGATTTGGTTGAATGATCGTTTGAGCATAGTCTATTGCTGATCTCATCAAAAGCAGTTTGTTTCTTCTCCTGGTGCAAATTCTGCTGCTACATATAGCGTGCTGCTGCATCTACAGATTGAATAATTGAGATGTTTTGGCTCTTGATCCGATGTTACACGGAGGTCAGTTGGAGTCGTTCAGTCGATGTAAATCTTCTATATAGACTCAGGTTCCGATTCTTTGCCTACTTCATGGTACGTAAAAGGTCTCATGAGTAGTTAGAGAGAAACGGTCCGTCGCGGCAGAGCTCTTCATTACCGCGCCAGAAAAAAATTAAATGAAACTAAGATCCTTCAAGTTTTCAATCAATGTTAAGCTCAGAACTACCGAAACTAGAACTGAAAATGTTCATATGAATGAATTATAGGAGGTAATGTCAAATTTGAAGCGAAATATCTGAAATGAGAAAAAAATAAGGTACTCAGCCTGAGAAAATAAGTTTTTACGGTTTGTCAGGATCTTACTTTCCGAAACTGGAGCTTGAAATGTTTCGAAAGGGTATTTTTCATTTTTTGGAAATAAGAACGTTGTATATCGAGAAAATATCAAAAAAAACAAACGTAAATATCTTAAAAACTAAGTGAAATAGAGAAAAATGGGTCATATGCTTAATCATACGTCAGGGGCATATATGAATATGTTTAAAATATGTTTTTCCGTTAACCAGCTGTTGCACTCCTACGAACGACAATCCTCAGAAGTCGAAACTTATGCGAACTAAGTGTCATGGCCTGAGACTGGCCATGAGACTATCCTGAATGGATTGTTCTTTTGGATAATTTGTTACTTCGGCACGGATAGACACACCTAAGGATGAGATGTCCCTCAAGAGGACTGTTACCTTCATGGATGACTTCTCACACGTGCCAGGCATATTCTAACCTCCAGGGCGTAGGTCTCTATAATCGTCATAGGTTGTCTTCAATTTCCCGAAAAAGACTTCCACGGGGAATTCTCTCATTTTATTAGAACCTTGCAACATATTGAAGCCGCCTCTGATCAGTATGCCTGCCGAATCATGGAACAAACACATGACATCACCACGAAAGAATGCAGTCGGGAATCGCCGGTAAAACTATAGTACCGAACCGACTAAAGCTTTCTGAAAAAACCGTTACCGATATAAGCACGTCTTCTCGACGCAAGAGGGCAGTTCAGAAAGTGAATCGAGCGGCTAAACGAGAAATTCAAATAGTGGAAATAAATTAGGCGTTAGTTGCGAAGTGTTGTGAATAAAAGAGTTTGTGATTAGTGAAATATTGTTGGAAAGAAGTTTGTTTAAGACAGTTAATTCATTAATTTGTTACAATATAATAATTGATAAGATACTCCATAACTGAACCACTCAATTTCTCTTCTATTCGTGAACAAGTCATACTTGCAAATAATTTAACTATTAGTACCAGTAGGATTGGTACCATAGATCCTAGATTCCTAAATGGTGGTCCGTGAAACTCTGGGGTTGCATAGAAGAGCTACAGGGATTTCCAGCGCTCTGTCGATGATCTGAATACCCTAAAATTTTTGAATGGGCTATTACAATTCTGTTTCCAGTTGTGACTACAGCTTACGCTTATGCAAAAAATAAATACAGAACCAGACTGGATGCAGCTTTGGAAAAAAATCATTTTTGACATTAAATAGTTGTGACATTATATAGATTATTTTTCTTTCATAATTTTTTTTTCGAGTCGTAACATGAAAATATTCAAATTACTAATCATCGAAATAACTAGCTAGGGTTCCGTCAAAAAATGTATGCTCAATTAGGGTTTCATGGCCAAGTTGCGCCGAATTTAAAGTTTGCATCTGCGCCACTGCATTCCTTTGACACGTCCGTGTTTCCCATTTTATGAAAACCGAATAAAACACTGTCACGGCCACTCTCGGTGTTTGACGCGAAAATTTAGGGGGTGATAATCGAGTGAGCCTAGGAAGAGGCGAGAGGCGCGTTCGGGACATTTCTTTTCGTTATTGCGGTGAGTAATGCTTCCCCGTCGAACCGTTAAGATAATGGCATTGTTTCGCCTCTCGACCAGGAAGTTTCTGGTGGCAGGGCGAGCTTCGTCCCCTCCATATAATATTTTTACAGTTGGAATACCGGTGTGCTTACAATTTCAAATAAATATCTAGTGGGTTCATTACGTAATAACAGCTGGTATAACAACTGAATACTAGTCCAATCAAAGTCCAGACAATAGAGTAAATACGCTAACTAGTCGTGTTAATGCACGTAAATATACATTTTGTCTACCGCTATAATTCAAATTTTCAGTCAGAATTGAAATCACGCAGTTGAAGAGCAAATTTTCTGGCTTTTGTAATCTTGAGTCGTTACAGTGAACATGTAAATTCAATTTGTGAAAGTTTTTTTCGAAATAGAATTGTTTTTTCAAAAAGTCGCTCTCCATAAAATAATGTATTTCTGGCGCAGTCGGCAGGATTTGTCTCACGGTTTAACGGCGCATTATTCCGATTTATTGGCAAGTAACAGAGAAGTGGCTTGAAAAAAACAATTTGGGAGTACCTGGAGCTGGGACAAAAATCGCCGAACTTTCACAACCCACATCCCAAAAACCTAGGATAGGAGGTCCAAAGAGAGCATAGCACAAATCTCGCTGGCAACAGATTGAGGAAGAAGAGACAAGAAGACAAAGAAAGGAATGAAAATACCACTGCAAATAATACTGTTAGTCATTTGATCCCCTTCATGCTGCTTTTCAAATTTCCAAAATTTTGATACTATATATTTTGCAATTCCAAATAGATTTCAGTGGTAACAATTCACTTTTGAGTGAAGTAAATTCCGAAATTAAAAAAATTTGGAAGTAAAGTAAAATCATGTTTCATTTTCAATGAGTAAAAAACATTCGTCTTCAACTTGTATGAAATGCAGGTGTAAAAAAAACTAAAATGTGGCAATTTTGGGGCTTGAATATGAGGTTTTCCTTTACAATGCGTGGTTGGAAAATCACGTTTGTTTGATTTGTAGGCAAAGCAGTGCAAGAATTGGTTCGACTTATATAAATTTCACTGTATACGAACGGACAAAAGTATATCATAGGTCAATGATTTGTTTGCACTAGTATAAAAGTAATCCACAGAGTTTCTCACATAAAGTCAGTGGAAGACTGGCTTTAAATCAAATCATCTGAGGGAACAATTCGTTCAGGTCAGTCTCAACTCCTTACACTGTGAGTTAATGGACTGACACCCATCAGAAAACAACCACTCCCCTGGCTAATACCACGAAGGGCGTTGGATTATATCCGACAGGTGTCAATGCAGGATTCTCAACTGAAGTTATTCCTGCATATGCTGTTGGCGACACAACTGCCGCAATATATTTTCAATTATTGGAACACACTTGCAGACCGGTTACGGGCTGTTTGGCCACTCGTCAGTGCAAGGTAGTGTCTATCATCAACATAAAGTCGATAATTTTCGATAATTGAAAATCTAATTCCTTCAGAGCATCATTCCTCGAACTCGAATTTAATTGTGTTTATGGCTAAGTATTTTGCATATAGTGGCTACCACATAAGAGGTAGATATGCTACCGCGGACTTTCATTTAGAACTATTTTAGATAAACAGTCTCACGGTACATTATCTGTATGTAACTCCAACGGTATAGGCATCGCACGCAAAGATAGCTCTTAGGGAGCAATACTTTTTCCGACTTACCTAATACTTATCGTTATATTATGACCAAAACTAAACAAAAAATTTGTAAATTTTAGCCTATATGTTATTCTGATGTATAAGCTGTATTTATGTAAAGTTTCATCTAAATCCGTTCAGTCGTTTAGGCGTGAAAGAGCCACAAACATTCATCCCCACACACTTTCACATTTATATTAGTGTAGATTACTAATAAGAAACTTTAAAATTTACTAATGGGTCTATTACCTCGTATTGAAGAATAAAATCCTGGATAAGATGGTATTGCTCCCGTTGTTCGATTGAAAACAGCAAGAGGAACTTTATTTAGACCGTTGCAAAGAAGTAACCTTTTCTAAATCTATTATCAATGGAAAGAAGTGAATTTGAAGAAGTTATTTCGGATTGAGGAATAAAAAAAAATGAAAAAAAATGGCAAACATACCTGAAAACTGGAGAAGAAAGTGTCATCAAATCCTGATAGGGAATCTGTTGTAGTCACTAGGTAGGTATGAAGTTAAAGTTCAACCTCCCCAAGAGGTATGTATGTGGAAAATCGCTCTCCTTTAGAGACATATAATATGTTGAAGATATCTCTTCCATATAATGCTGATATGTCAAATCTGTTGGATTCCTAACATAGGATTTTATTGACATCTATTTTTGATGTCCCCATTTTCAATGTTTCGAAATAATAATGAGGTTAGGAAATTTCATTGACAGTTTCGTCAAATGTGATTGCTTATTTGCTATGCTGAAATTCTTGATATACATTTTCCTCTCACTGTTATTAGTGTCGCCAGACGAAACCGAGAAAAAATGCAGAGATCGCTCTCGGCCGATTTCCACAGAGAACAGGGATTTCTACGAATTAGTGGACGCAATCCTCCACCAAAACCTCACATTACAATGCCATTATTGCAACGAAAACGACGATTCTCAACCAAAAAACTGGTATAAAATAGATAAAGTGGGATTAGGCGAAGCGAGAGAGGTGCAGCTGAGTATGGAAAATGAAATGGAATTGAACCGGATTTGGATTAACACTGATCATAGCTTGAACATCAACAACTTTTCCGAGACAGATACGGGGTTGTATTACTGCAGGGAATTCGAGCAGCCCGAGATTGATGAGAAGTATAATTACTTGGTTGATCTCGTGTTCGAACGTAATGTTACAGGTAGGTGTAGGTATTGAAGTTCGGTTCACACGGTGAGGCGATAATCGATCAACAAATCTGCATTTGAATTGAATGAAATAGATAGTCGTATCAATGAAGTCTCTTCCTCGGAAGTTTCAAGAACAGTTCCGACTTTGTTGATGATTTTTTAGTGTTTCCTCAGATTATTTTAAACCATTTGAAATGAGGGAAATTATTCATATTATATGAACAATATATGATTATATATCAATGATATTTATATATAATCTTCAGAGTTTTCTATAGCTTTTTAAAAAATTCTTCATATATTTAATAAATTGCTTAATGTAGCCGTTACTACGTGGTAGGGAATGGAAAGTTTTCATTTTTCATTTTTCATGACTTGATTAGGACGAAACTGCAATAACGATAGTTACAAATAAAAATGGTGAAAACATAGAAAATTTAATTTCTCATTTTTCATAACTTTTTATAATTATTACTTACTATAACAACATTACAGCGGATATTCACATAATAACTATAGCAGAGAGTGATGTGTTAGTGTTACTAATGATTTCAGCACTTGATAGTGAAGAATGTATATTTATGATGGTGAAGAATGTATTTATATGTTGGTGAAGAATGCATTTTTGTATCTTTCAAAAATAATGTCCCACTAATAATATCTCACTATTAAAGAAAATGTATCATAAGTGGAAAATGATGTCTTATATACCATTCCAAAAAATGTTGAATTTTTCATAATTATTAAAAGGTACGCGCATCAGTTTAATCTTTCATGGTCGAAAAAGCAAGTGAAAATCGATCGTTCAGCCTGAGTACGGCAGAGCCGTACTCTTACCATCTGACCTGAAAGACCACTCACCATACAAACTAATCGGCTTTGTTAAAAAGCTGGGTTTATTTGGCAGAGTGTAAATAGGTGTGAGCCACAATAAACCCTTGCGGGTTGTTGTGGAGGGACGAATAGACCCACTCACTTTGGACCTTACCTAACCACTAACCCACGATAATCGAAAAAAGCAGTTAGCAAAACCTTGTTCGAACTTGGCGTGCTCTTTTCTTCTTGGCTCTTCTGGGCTCTGCCATTGAGACGATTGGACTTTGGTGGCGATATCATAACCATATACCCATGATTCGTCACCAGTTATGACCCTTTGAAAAAATCTGGATGGCCGTTTCGAAAAAATTTCAAAGCATGAGCCAAGCGATATGCCGACATCCCCAACATCTTCTTCAGTAGTGATTCGACGATTCACCATAACATTTTTGTTTACTTTCTCAACATTTTCATCGGTTGTTGATGTACTGGGGCGTCCCGAGCAAGCATCGTCATTCACATCTCGATGTAAAAAGCATGTACCACCCGTAAACATGTTTCTGACTCAGAGTACAATCATCGTATGCTACTGTAAACATAAAATTTGATGCAAATTCTTTGATCTGTTTTTTTCAATAGCAAAAAGTCGCCGAATACGCAGAACAGTTCTAATTAGTATGCCTCTCACCAACAAACTAAACATGCTAAATTGATGAAACTGTGAACATATGTTACGAGTGTACCATGATACGAGTGTACCAACAACAAACAAAATAAAAAAATCGCTAATGGAATGTACGTATTCCGCGAAATTTGAATATTTACCTCATATTTTAAAAGTGTACGACTGTTTAACTCCTTTCTGGATCAATTCCTTCGTCGCCGCAGCCATTACTAGCAACATTTAGTCTTTTTAGAAATACGAGTATATAGATTCCTTTTGATGTTACCTAAGAAATTTGTTGCCTCAATTGAATGTAATACACGAAGTGTTCTATACACATAAAAAATTAAGTTTCAATACTTTTGAAAGATACTACTGGAATGATACGATATAACTATTGTCCAGAACTGCCAATTGGCCGAGCAAAATGTTCATTTGTTTTCCAGAACTAGAATCCGGCAACTTGACAGATTGGGCAAAATACCACGAAGAACATTTCACACCGATAAACAAGCTATTTGCAGAATCGGAAGGAAAAGAATTCGTACACTTGAGGGAGCATTTAAAAGTTAGTTTGGAGGCGATAAGTCACTGGGACCCCTGGGGCATGTGTGAGGTTTGCGGTCGAGCGAACGGCGAAGGGGTCAGGAAGAAGAGGGGGCGCTGTCGCATAAAATTAACTCGCACATCGAGGGAGAACAGCACCAGCAACCCCGATGAGCTGTTTTTCTTGAACGCGAACGAGGTTTCCTGCAGGTCGATGAAATTGGGAAAGATGTTTCCAGGTGAGGTGAATTTATGACACTTTTTTAATGAATAATTGCTATAAATTCTCTTCGTTTTAGGTGAGGACGCTCCTATATACAGTGTGTAAAAGCCAAATGGAATAAATTCATTATTTCGGCACATATTTTACCAAAATTCCGAAACACGTCATATTTAAATTATAATTTGACATACTTCAATGGAAAAATACTACCCCTACCTTCAACCCCCGTCGAATGACAGGCACAATTCCCAATTTTTCAGAAGAGAAGTATAGGCTTGTGATATATCGTTTAAAAGGTATATTCGTTCTGTATTCAAAAATATTATCGCTTTCAAGTTAATTGAAACAATTGAGATAAAATAAATAAAAATCATGTTGTTACCATAATTCGATAAAATACACTCAAAACTTATTGCAACATCGATAATGAAAAAGTAAGCAAAAACCATAGCAATGTTCTTTTTAGATGATATCCTTTAAAAAGAACTGTAAATATTTCCGTGGCAACGTTAGTTTAAAACAACTTGTCAACTTGTTTTGTATGTAACAATATTAGTTGTCAGTATTTCGATTCAAGTTAAAGTTCGTTAACTTCAAGTCTGACAAATGGTTAGATTAACGGAAATACATAAAATGTCAGTTTTACAAATGATTGCTTACGGAGATAAAACCCGAACACAACAGGAAGTAGCTTGCCTATTTCATGAGAAATTTTCCTAATTTACCACCTATATTTCAAGGAACAATGAGCAAAATAAAGAAGCTGTTTCGCGATCTTAGTCATATGGGGCAGATAAGAAAAGCAGCTGCCAATGTAATGAGTGATGAACTCAAATTTGATGTGATGCTTGAGTTTGAGGAAAACCCACATACATCGAGTAGACAGACATCCACTGCATTCAATGTTAGCCATACATCGATAGTAAACATATTAAAAAAAATAAAATGCATCCCTTTAAAATGATACCTAGACATAAACTCATGGAAGACGATTTTGATAAAAGAGCAGATGATAGACATGATGGATAACAATATGATCCAGTTAGAAGACGTTATGTTCTCTGATGAGTGCATTTTGTCTCTTAACGGTAATGTTAATAGGCAAAATTGCTGCTACTGGTCAACGGAAAATCCTCACTGTATGAGAGAATAACATACGCAATACCCTCAAAATGTTAATGTTTGGGCAGGGATAGTAGGAAACCATATCATTGGTTCCTTTTTCATTGAGGGCAACTAGAATGGCAATCATTATTTGGCCCTACTTCAAAATGATATCATTCCAAGCTCAGCAATTTTTTATCCTGATGCAGGAAACCCCCAGTTCCAGTGAATACGATATGGTTTCAGCAGGAGCACCACCGCGATACCTCGATACAACATTTTCCAATCGGTGGATAGGGAGGCGAGGATCGATTGAATGGCCAGCGCGATCACTTGATCTCTCATCATTAGATTTTTTTATGGGGATATGTGAAGAGCAATGTGTACAGAACTGAACCTTCAGAATTGAATGACTTAAAAGAATGAATAACGCTTGCTATTAGGTCGGTCACACCTGATATGTTAAATAATGTTAGAAGACATTATTTGAGATTAGGATGTTGCCAAGACCTTTTGTGGTGAAATTTTGAACATCTACTTCGTAAACATTCATAGTTCTTTTTTGTATTCTAAATTTCATTACGTTTTGCATTACCTTTTAGTTTTTGAGTGTATTTTATCGAATTTTGGTAACCACATGGTTTTAATTCATTTTATTTTAATTGTTGGAATAAACTTTGGATAGAGAATGAAGAGACCTTTCAAACAATATATCACAAACCTATATCCACCATTAAAAAACTTGAGTAAGTTGCTATATATGTTTCTGAGATTCTCAATGTCAGTTTCTATATTGATACAATTAGAAGACACATTGATTTCGACCATTTCAGGAAAAAGTCGTTTGCAAATATTTTTTCTGTATGTAAAACTTTCGTATTAAGTTTCATGTGAGTAATTCTGGATGTTGTTTCAATATAATCCAAGTCACAATTGTAACAAGGAATATTAATAATAACATTTGACCTTTTTTGTAATATCCGTTTCATCTTCCAATTCAGTATTTTAATTATATATAGTTGAGATATTCTGTCCATTGTGATAAACCCACACCCCAGAAACCTAGGATTCACTTTTGAGTGAAGTAAATTCCGAAATTTTAAAAATTTGGAAGTAAAGTAAAACCATGTTTCATTTTCAATGAGTGAAAAACATTCGTCTTCAACTTGTATGAAATGCAGGTGTGAAAAGAAACTGAAAATGTGGCAATTTTGGGGCTCGAACATGAGGTTTTTGGACATTCCATTCCTTCACAATGCGTGGTTGGAAAACCACGTTTGTTCGATTTGTAGGCAAAGCAGTGCAACAATTGGTTCGACTTATATAAATTTCACTGTATACGAACGGACAAAAGTATATCATAGGTCAATGATTTGTTTGCACTAGTATAAAAGTAATCCACTTTTTGTTCTAGAGAAAGATAATATTTTGAAGCAAATTCCAAAAATAGTCATTCAAATCATTGTGATTCTGAAGAAAAACAGGCAATTATGAAGTTTTTCACATAATGTCAGTGGAAGACTGGCTATAAATCAAATCATCTGAGGGAACAATTCGTTCAGGTCAGTCTCAACTCCTTACACTGTGAGTTAATGGACTGACACCCATCAGAAAACAACCACTCCCCTGGCTAATACCACGAAGGGCGTTGGATTATATCCGACAGGTGTCAGTGCAGGATTCTTCACTGAAGTTATTCCTGCATATGCTGTTGGCGATACAACTGCCGNGAGATTGATGAGAAGTATAATTACTTGGTTGATCTCGTGTTCGAACGTAATGTTACAGGTAGGTGTAGGTATTGAAGTTCGGTTCACACGGTGAGGCGATAATCGATCAACAAATCTGCATTTGAATTGAATGAAATAGATAGTCGTATCAATGAAGTCTCTTCCTTGGAAGTTTCAAGAACAGTTCCGACTTTGTTGATGATTTTTTTAGTGTTTCCTCAGATTATTTTAAACCATTTGAAATGAGGGAAATTATTCATATTATATGAACAATACCAATGATATTGATATATAATCTTCAGTTTTCTATAGCTTTTTAAAAAATTCTTCATATATTTAATAAATTGCTTAATGTAGCCGTTACTACGTGGTAGGGAATTATGGAAAGTTTTCATTTTTCATTTTTCATGACTTGATTAGGACGAAACTGCAATAACGATAGTTCCAAATAAAAATGGTGAAAACATAGAAAATTTCATTTCTCATTTTTCATAACTTCTTATAATTATTACTATAACAACATTACAGCGGATATTCACATAATAACTATAGCAGAGAGTGATGTGTTAGTGTTACTAATGATTTCATCACTTGATAGTGAAGAATGTATTTATATGTTGGTGAAGAATGCATTTTTGTATCTTTCAAAAATAATGATCCACTAATAATATCTCATTATTAAAAAAAATGTATCATAAGTGGAAAATGATGTCTTATATACCATTCCAAAAAACGTTGAATTTTTGATAATTATCAAAAGGTACGCGCATCAGTTTAAACGTTCATGGTCGAAAAAGTAAGTGAAAATCGATCGTTCAGCCTGAGGCTTGAACCACCGACCAACACGGCGGCCGATTTGAGTGAGTAAACAAAGTACCCATGTCGAACTGACCGACTACCGACCGACCATGAATGATAATGAAAGCATTGATTGTATTTTCATAATATATGGTGCCAAAAATTTGAGTCAACTGCAATATACAAACGTTCCATAGCACTATCTTCAAAGAACAAGCTGTTTGTTGCTATCTTCTGTTTTTGTCACTGTTCTACGAAAGCGTTGAAAGACAACTTTTCCATGTTGAATAAATAGCATAGAACGATCGGTAATTGGTTCACATAGAACATAGAAGAGCAGAAGAGTTGGTTAGGTCAATCTATTTGGACCGTTAGTTTCACCAAAAATTGAACACTGAATAATAATATAATGTGCCTGAAGTACTTTTAGCTTAAGCTGGTCTGCTAAGACAAAGTGACATGGTGTAAAATGCGCAGAAATTCAATAAAAACCAGCGCAGTGAATGTATTCAAAATCTGCGTACTGAATACTCTGCGCCTTGTCGGCAACATGAAGCTCATCACACATACTGATCAAATAATCGAATGCATACGCTGCATAATAGGATTTAATAAAAACCATACAAATATACCTTTCTCGTGAATTACATATAATTCCTCATTTTCAGAGGTTAAATCTCCAAAAATTATTGGGTTGTTTCAAAAGTTTTGTCTGTTCTTCTTTGCTTTGCTTCTTTGCTTTGGCGCAACCATAATGATCCTTTATTTGGATCGGATCGGCACGTATGTTAGAAAGTGGATCATCTACGATAACAGGAGACTTCAGTACAGTGGTTGGACACAGATGAGCCACGGCTTTCTACAACCGGACCAAACCATCACAGCGGAGTCCTTTTGTGAGGAATTTGACGAAATGTACCAACATTTGCGTCAGCAGCCGATCCTGGTCAACAGAGGAAGTCAGATCCTGCTTCATGATAACGTCCATTCGCACGTTTCACAAATCACCGTCCGGAAATTGAAGGAATTGACTCCCCAGTCCTCTCGCCAACTGAATACCATCTTTTCAAGCAATTTGACGACTTTCTCACTGGTAGAACCTTCGTCTATCAGGCAAAAACGGCCTTCGTCGACTTCATCGAGTCCCAAGCAAACAATTTTTTTAAATAAAATCAAAATTCGAAAACAATTTTCGGTATGATTATATCAGATGGACCACTGCCCTATGTTTTATATTTCAGTAAAATCAATATAATTCAGTTAATTCAGTTGACCAACCTCATTGGAAATCATCATGAAAATAAAAGGAATTTCTGTAATGATAATTTGTTTAAAAAAAATCCATATACCATGAAAACTTTTATTGAATTACAAAATTGCTGAT